GAAAAAAAAAAAAAAAAAAAAAAAAAAAAAATAGTACAGCTACTTTGGAAAACAGTTTGGCAGCTTCTTAAAGAGTTGCACATGTACCTACCATTCGACCCAGCCATTCCACTCCTAGGTATTTACCCAGGAGAAATGAAAGCACATTCTGCTCAAAGACTAGTGCATGAACGTTTACAGCAGCTTCATCTGCAATAGCCAAAAACTGCAAACAACCCAAATGCCCATCAGCAGGTGAACGGATAAACAACCTGCAGGGTATCTGTGCAGTGGAATTCTGGTCAGCAACACTGCTCAGGAATGAACCACCAACACACGTTGCAATGTGGATCAATTTCAGAACAATCATGCTGAGTGAAAGAAGCCAGAAAAAAGAGAGTATCTCCTGTATGATTCCATTTATATGAAATTCTAGAAAATGCAAATTAACCTACAGTGAGGGACAGCAGGTGATAGGAACAGGACAGAGGGCAGGATGGAGTGACTACAAGGAGCCTGAGAAACCTCGGGGGTGAGGAAAATGTCCATTGTCATGATTGTGATGGTTTCACAGATGCATCCCTATGTCAAACTTATCAAACTGTTCACTTTAAATAATGTGCAAACTGTTGTATGTCTATAGTAACTTTATAATGCTGATTTTTAAAAACTGCATTTGTCTAGAATGAAAGGGAAAGAAGAGGAGCCCCATCCACCCCACACGCTGCCACTCACCCAAAGAGCTGCTGTTTGTTGAGGGTGTAGAGGAGGTAGTCAGCCATGGTCTCCTCGCCCACCAGGTGGTCCAACACGGTTCCTGGGAAAAAGGCCACAGAGGTGAGTCCTGGCATGTGGGCCCCTGCTGAGCTTGCCCAAAGACAGCCAAGCTCTTAAGGGAAAGACCACGTGGGAGAAAAGAAGCTTCCTCAGCTGGTACATGGGTGTCATCCTGGCCCCTCTCCCTACCAGGTATGGACCTTGGCTGTGTGACCTGACCTCTCTGCCCTGTCAGTCTCTTGCAGGGCGGTGTCAACATAGTGACCAGCAAAGGTCAGTTGTGAGCTACTGCAGCTCTCACAGTCAGCTTTGAGAGGTGCCTCATGGCAACCACAGCAAAGGTGGGAACAACTCAGCCCCATGCCAAGTCAGCAGGTGAAGCCCTCAAGGTGGGGCGGAGGGGCCCTGCCCTGGCCTTGGCCACAGCTCACCACACAGGGCCAGCTTCAGGCCCATCTCCACACTTCCAATCCGAGGAGCCAGCACCCCAGGGGTATCCAGCAGGAACATCAGTGGCCGCTCACACACCTGTGCAGGCACAGAAGCACAACTGGAAGAGATGGCAGCCTTCCACCCAGGCCATCTGCTCAGGAAGCCCCAGGGCAGCCCCTCACTCCAGGCCCTGCTGGGCAAGGCCCTCACCGAAGGCTCTGAGGAAGGCCCCCAAGCTCTAGGGTTCCCATAGAATTTAATTCCCACTTAATTTTGAGAATAAATAAAGAACCAGGTCCCAGTAGCTCACATCTTCCCCTCCCAAGGAGAACAAAAGGGAATTCATGGAGAATGGGCTCCACTTAGCTCTGCCCTGACTGCTGTATAGCCTGGGCAGGTGGTCTCCAAATCTGTACATGGGATAACAAGAGCACCTTCCCGAATAGGTCTGGCTAAGGACTGGGGACAGCAAGTGGAGGGAGGGAAGGCACTGCCAGAGGCAGGCGGCCACGACATGAGTGCCCGGC